AAACAATTTTCAGGTCTTTTTGTTCAAGCTTCAACTCCCCCGATGTATGGGAAAAAAATTACCATCTGGGCTGGTGGATTTAGCTTCTTGCAATTCTTGAAATCGGTGAAATCGGACATGTCAGGAAATTAAAGCTGGCTTCCCAACTGTTCATGCGCTTCTTCAAGCTGTATCTCGATCCGGCTATGTCCAAACTGTTTCTTCTATGTTTTTGTAGCCCGGGCCCTGATCCCCCACTCTCTTCCCCACTGCCTCTGCAGCCCATTGGTGTTGTGAGCCATGCTGGGCCTTCCGGGCTGAGGTGGTGGAATCTCTGGACTTGTTGTACCACCATGGAGCTGACCGTTCCGGGGAGTCTGTTCGATATGCGGTTTCGGAACTTCGTGGGGATTGGAAATTCCAGGCTGATACATGGCAAGTGTTTGAAGAAGTAGATTTTGTGGAAGTCTTTGGGCTCCCCTGGGTGGTTGGTTTAATTCACGAAGAACAACTAGCTGACCTGAGGAGTGGCTACAACTATCGAGCTATTATTTGTCCAACTCTGTATGTCATTGCTGCCGAGCACAAGCCCCAAATTATTTCACTGCTCCTGCCAACTTGGGGAACCAGTTTCGCCACTCTACGGAGACGTTCCTGGCGGAATGCATCAAAAGAAACACTGAATTGCAAAGACACTAGGCCTTGACCAATGTCCAGTAAATTTTGGTCTTTGTTCAAATTTTAGTGCAGATGACCCCATCATCGTGCTCTCCAGAGAAGCCTAGGCCCATTATTAGACCTGCCTTGCTTTTGCGTTGAGATGGTGCGTTGGGACGGAATGCACACCTGCAACCTGGGTGTAGACTTGTGGGTCATTGGGAGCATCTTCAAGAAATTGTTTGAGTATGGTGATGTCTTCGGGGGCAATGACATGGATGAATCGGATCGATATCTGATGGCTTATGACATGTTCAGGAATTGGAGCAGAGCACACCAGGTTCGGTACCGTGTCTGGAGATATTCAGGTTTTCATGTGTGTTTCTAATATTATACCTTAATTGCCGGTTTACGACCGTCTGTGAGCTCAGGCATAGCATGCCAAAATTCAGGCCTTGGCGCTTTAGATCAAGGCAGCACCCATGGCCAGAGCTTCAAGCGAAGGCGTACAATGTTCCTTAATCTGGGACAGAATTAGTACTAGCAATAAACAAACATGTGTGTTTTAAGATGGGATGCCTGTGAGAGTTTACTTTGGCGTACTGGGGGGTGCCCTCAATCCCTAGGCCCAAAGCTGTTTGTAATGGCATCTGAGGCCAGGTGTGTTACGGCATGGCTTTGCGAGGAATGCATTGATATTGCAAATCAACATCCTGGTGATGAGTGGTTGTCATTGATGACATCATGTGTGTTGCTTGCCAATGCTAGAATTAAAGCAGTCTGGAGTTATGTTTTTGAGGACCTTTTTAGTACTGACAGTGCCCTCTCTTCTTTACAAACATCTGCAAGCTGCTAGTGGACTGGTGAAATATTAAAACGCTGGCACTTTGAGCTAAGGTTGAAGACATGTCTTGCTGGGAGAGCACTAATTAGCTTATAATCAAATATGACTATGCCAGAGATGAACCACTGTGCTCAGGTGGTACCTTGCAGAATGGCATCGCAAAACGGAATTGCTTCCACGGTTCCTATCGGAGGGTCAATCGAAGGAGATGCTGGACATCAATGACAGGTTCTGCTGCTTTTATGCGATGCTTTCCAAAAAAGCAATTCAACAGGATGAGCTTCTGTTCCCTTCCAGGCCAAAACTGCATGTGCCTTAATCCTTTGTTTGTGATCGATAAGTTTTTTTGGGATAGGTACGCGCATATGTATATGACATAGACTCTGGACTTTGTAATGTCGATCAAGCATGTCACTGACATCCCAGGCATTTCAAGAGATCGCTTACATCCAAGCCCAAGAGTGCTTCTTGGTCTTTAATTCTAGTCCAACCTTTAGGAATGCTACCAACCATGGGAGAGGGCCTCAAGCTGTTCCTTGAATTTTGCTTGGCCACTCTCTGGCCATTGTTCAGTCATCTGAGGCTACAACCATAGGTTTTATCAGTCGTACAAGCCCGAAGACGTCATTGGGCGGATGGTTGTGGTGTGTGCAGCTGGAAACAACAGCAATGTCGAGTTTATAGGGCTCAAGAGGTTCTTCCTAGGGTAGCTTGATGCACTATAACGAACTGTGTTCTATATTGTCTTTCTTTTGGAGGTGTGGTGGGCCTGATTTCAAAGCCTCCCTGGTAGCTGCCGTGACAGGCAGAAGAGCCACTACGAGCTAGACCACTGGGAAGCCTTCGCTACTGACTCCGATGTTGAGATGGTGGATGGTTTGTAAAGGTGAGTGCAATTAAAGCCTAAACTTGCTGCATAGTTTTGTGCAGGAGAGGGCCTGAAACAAGTCACCTCCTGTGCTCTAATCTCCAGGATCCGCATCTTCCAACGGCATTGGTGACCAAACTAAAGAACAGGTCTCTACTTTAAACTCTAAACCACGAGAACTAACCCACCAATGCAGGTTGGTGGCTATTTGGGCCATGTGCGCTGTGACAACTGCATGTATATGTGAACCAAGTGAAGAAAGTGCATCTCAAACACTATAGTTTGATGTTCAGCTTGACCTTGGTGGATGTGTCGGAAAATCACATTTTCCAGCTTTGTGTGAGCACTGTCGCGGAGGGGGGGTGGGCTCAGAAACCTCTCTCAAAGGAACAAAATGTGATGTCGCTTCTCAGTGAGCACGCGGGAACCCTAGGGCTATAAAAGTTAGAAGTCGTACTAGCATGCTGCATCTGCTCAATGAATTGCAGCCATGGCCGGGAGTCCGGACTGCCAGTCCCAGACAGGTCGTGTTCGCATTTTGTGGAAACGCCGGAGTTCGTTTCAAGAAGAACCACCTGGGGCCTGGGGCACCCCTAGAATGAGCACCGATACTGGAACGCCTTCCCATTGGATTTGACGATCAAGTGACATGAAACAAACAACGTGGATGAAACAGGTCTGCATGAATGGGATGATGGCTGTGTTGTGTCATTTGTGGCGTGGATGGGATCATGGCTGTGCCGCATGGGAGAAGGAGTTTGGGTCAGGAGATGCTCAGAACTTGAGCTGAGCCGTGTTCACATGCGATCTCTCAATGACCCTGGCAATGCAAGTGCTTCTTGCGTGTGAGTCTTTTCTCCTTTGATGCGGTGGAGCCCTTGTTTTCCAGACAGAGGGGGAACCTAAGTAACTGGCGGATTGCAGGCAGCCAAGGAGCCAGAATCCCAGAATTAATATGCCGCTATGCCCTCCATATGTCTCAATCTTCCAGAAGCAGCAGCAGATCTCCAGAGTCAACCACGCTCTGACAGCAGTGCCAAGGAGAAGATTGATCAGTACACCCGGGAGGACCCGGGGTATATGACTCCTGGATTGGAACCCTTACATTCGCGACTTTATCGACCCGGTGGTCACAAGCACCCAGGACCGTGGGCATTGGTATGATGTACGATGTATGTAGATACCTGCACCGTCCCTAACGGTAAAAAAACATCATCATGCGCGGTATGATTCATACCGTAAAAAAGAAAACGTGGGAGGCTCATGCGGTAGGAAGCATCATACCACAGGATACATTCAGCAACGGTAAAAACCAGAATTGGAAATCAGTATATTCATAGTCCGTATATTCATACATTTTCCTACATAATCAGCATACTGTATTCCAATATATTGCTTATTCAAACCAAAAACATGTTCATGGTCTTTCCAGTTTGTTGAACTCCGGATGGATCTAGGTCCGACTGTCCTGCATTCTTCTGACCCAGTGAGCAGACTGAGCTGCCTATGCATTTTGCAAATTTTGGAGAAGGACTTGTGGCAAACCTGGTAGCTGTGTGAGTTGGAGCAATTTTTGTGTGGAAGGAATTTCCGGACATGCTTCAAGTCACAGCCACCAGGTTTGCCACAAGTCCCTCAGTCCCTCTCGGAATTTCACCAGAGTCCCAAGGCATTCGCGGCGGTCGCACCAGGACAAGATGTCTTCTATTGTTTCGTGATGCGGGTGACATGTGGCACTTGCTTCGTGACCAAGGGATTGAAGGACCCGGTTCAGCTGCTGAAGGAAGCTGCTGGTAGCTGAAGCTGTTGCTTCAACTGAGGCACCCTGCCTGTTGCCAAGAACTTTCCGTAGATTCAACAGCAGTCGGTTTCATAAGAACAGCAGTCGGTGTGTTTTCTCCATCCCATGGCTAAGGGATAGATCATTTGTTCGCTGCATTTGGGGCATGGTGCGTCTTAGACTAGTGGACCTGCACTCGAGATCTGATGACCCCCACCGAAGCACCGTGCCGGTCCGGCCCGAAGAGATCCGAAGAGGATGTCCCGCCGGTGCAACAACATGTAGTCCTATAATGCAGAACTTCAGGGTGTGGGAATCATGTGGCCAAAAACTGGTTCTTCTTCCCTCCCGTCATGGACTCATCAGGATTTCACATGATATAACCTGCAGGTCACCGAGCTTATTGGGGGGAGTCTCAAACAGCTGAGGAACGCTTGGTTTTGGCTCGGAACATCGTCGCCGAACAATGGCGCTGACTGATCGTTCGCTCTGAGTCCCAGCACTGAGAAACTGCTTGCAGACTCGGGCAGTTTCACACCGTGTATCCCCATTCATCCCCTCTTAGAAGAGTTGGGATGTGAACAAATATATCCAACAGAGAGGTGAGGACTGCAGGCCTGCCTTTAAAACTATCCCATTGTTAGGGACCAAAGACTAAATCACATCAAGAATTCTGTGACGTTGGTGGGCTGCCAGAGATGGGGAGCTTTTGGGTTATCTATATACACTGTTTGGGAGGGTTATCCCCATTTGCAAGTTCTCCTCAACCCGTCCAGTTCAACTGCACCGTCGATTTCGAGATCGGACATGCATGTCGTCATCGTCGTGAGGATGAGACCGGGAAGCGGGACAAACACGATCCGAAGAGGCCAATGATCTATGACCTGGATACTGGCTTCCAAGTCTTTGTGAATGCTGACCGCAGAGCAACTGGGCTGGGCACAGTGTTCACTCAGGCATGTGCCTCCTTGTGAGATGTAGGATGGGGATCTTGTAATTGCATATGTGTGAGGGAAAGCAACTGCGAACATGTTTTGAAACACCAGGCTTACAGAATCTGTCACACGGAAGCACCCATCATCCTGATTGAGCATCCAGCAGCTATGTAGACTTGTGTTTTGTTTTTCTAAATGCCCCAAGATCCTGAGTCTCCCCCACACCCTGTTGAAAAGCCAGAGTGTGCCGGGTCAGCAATGCACATATTGAATCTTTGGCACTCCCCTAAGGGGTCCTGGATCGTACCTTCACAGGTTGGGTACTGACTGGGTGACTGGACCCTCCTGGCACATACATGACAGTGTCTCCCTTCGTTGAGAAGGTACTTACCTGGATCCCTATAGGGCTCGTTGGTCCATCAACACGAGGCTCAAGGCTTCTTTATCCGCAGTTGGAGCCGTTCTTGTCGTTGGAACTTCCGCGACCCCAGGAACTCTCGAACGTGCCGGGCTCTGAACCCTCGGTGCGTTACAGCACTCTGCTGGTGGAGTTGGGGCCCTCCATCGTGGCGTGGCTCCAGCAGACGAGGAGGAGCACAGGACCTGGACCTGGTTGAAAGGTTTGAGCTGTTGGTTTGAGGCAGATCCCATTGGGATCACATCATATGGGATCCAACCAACCATGTTTCTGAGCAGAGGGTTGGAAGAGGGCATAACTGAGGTTCCCTATTACTGTAGACATCTGGATGTTTCAACAAGTTTCAATCCACCCCAACTGAAGAAACATCTTCAATCCATGTTTTGTGGGGCCCAAGAGGTTTGACAGTCGGGCTCAAGGTTGGTAATCGCTGAGTTTCAGATTCGGAAGCACAGACGTCGATCACGGTCCTCGATCCAGCTGGTGCAGAAGCAGGGACATAAACAAGATCCCAGGGGGCAGAGGAGGATCCATAAACACTTGAGCCATTTTGAGCCACATTCTAAAGACCTTTATATACATTCTAATAACATTCTGACAACCATATTCAAGACGATGCGCAACGTGTTTAGAAGATTGTGGAACAACTTTATTTATGGCTCGCAGATGCTTCCATCTCTGATTTTGTTCAGTGCTTTTAAAGGCTACCATCCAGTGGATTCCATCAACACAGATGATCAACTGGTTGACACAACTGGTGACATGGCCAAGGCACGGTACCGGGAGATCATCAACTACCTAAAGAATGGCGTTTACCCGGCTTCTCAGCGGCAAGTCCCAAGATCTTTTGCGATGGCGGTGGAGTGCCAGGCAGTTTGGAGTTGGAGGGAGTTCTTGTTGAATCAGCTGGTGGGCGTTTGGCAGTGTAGAATTGCGACTTTTTGGAACGGTATGCTGGAACTTCTGGCAAACGGTCTGGATGGTTCGTTTCTGGTGCATTGCAGCGGAGGTCGACCAGGTTTACCTTTGATCACTGGCCTAGGCATGCTGAATAGCGCTCCAGAATGATGGTTTTGGATGTTTTGGGTGGTTTGGTTGATCGGACCTGGATGCGTTTTTGGTGCACGATGGTGCACGTTCTATTGTTGAGTCGCGGTGGCGATCTGAGGCCTTTCTTCTGGCCTACTTGAGAGTATGAGGTCTGAAATCAGTCCAAAGTGTGCGCGCAAAGTTGTTGGAATTCTACCAGCTGCAAAACCCGCGCAGACTGCTGTAGGACCTCAGTCTCACCCCCGCAGAACACGTCTGTTTGGTCGGCTGGACGGTAATATGCAAAGCAGCCAGTAATTATTATTCAGTAATTACGTATACTTACTGGTGTTGTGAAACCTATATACAAATCACCAACAACATCCCATGCAAGGCTGCACTGCAGCCTCAAGAGCCAGTGGTGGAGTCCACGGAAAAAAAGGAAACAGAAGAAAACAAATGGGCCTGGAGGATTCCACTCGCGGCTTTGTTATGGCAACTCTATCCACCGCTTTGTGGATTCATCAAAGCCCTCTCAGGGCTGGAGGTATGGTACATCCATTCTGGAGACCAGAGGAGGGGGAGGGTCTGACTCATTTACATGATGGGGTGACGACGGTGACGACATGACTACTTGCAGTCACATGGGGTGATGGCAACTTTACGAGTCCAGCCAACAGACTACATGATGGGGGTGACTTTTAGGTTTGCAGTGATTTGCAGTGGTCCCTTTTCAGAAGGATGTGGAAGACGACCCTTTGTTGAGGCACTCGGGTTTTCAGACCCCCGCTTTGGACATAAACAAGTGCTTGGAGCTTGGTACCCGCATTCAGCGTGTTTAAAAGCGTGCTTTGAACGTGTTTCAGAGACACCCTTGTGTGTTTTTTCATTTAAGATTATATTCTACTACATTTGGTGCATCATAAATAGCCTTCATGAGGTTAGCCTTCACTTCAGTTAAGCTAACCGCAGAGGACCGCCTACATGACTGCTGACCAACACGAGCAGAAGGTACCAACGTGACTTCTGGGACCTGAGATTTCTCACCAACACGGACCAACGCGCATCGTCGACCTAGCCAACCGCTGGCGCAACGCCGGGCGGCCATGCTGGCGGCATGCCAACGCACGAGCAGAAGCAGGATGAGTAGCTCCAAAGGAGCCGGAATCTGGCTGAAGCAGGCTTCCCATGGCTTCCCAGGGTGCGGATATGATATGGAAATAATGGAACCCAATAATGGAACTTCACCAGATCCCCCTTTCTCCACACACCCTCCATTTAGCCTTCATATGATATGGAACATTGATTCTCTTTCACCGATCAAGACATGTACGCACGAGATATGATCCAGACTTGCTCGAGCTGCTCAAGCGAGACATTGTAGGGTTCAGCGTTGGTTTGTCGGTCCAAGAAATCAGGCAGAACCAAGACCGGATCCTCTGAGTGCTTAAAGCGGTCGGACCGGAATTACCTGACTTCTAGGAGTTCCTGAACACTTTGGCGATGCCCTCATAGTCTTTGAACTTCGACGGGGGTCCTGGAAAATAAATCATGTGTCCCTTCTCCAAGAACTGATTATAAGCGAACTATCTATAGTGGGGAGATCCATGATCTTCACCCGTCGACGTTCCCTTGAACCAAGTCTGGGACGTTCTCATCCTTCTTTTTTACAACTTCTAGCTACCTTTTTGGAGGGTTTATATCTTGTTAGCCACTAAGAAGTCCTGGGGAGACTTCCATCGGATTTGGTCTCACCGAAATCAGACTTTATCTATAGTCTATACCCCATCACATTGGCCATGATCGGGTGATTGGAGGTGTCCGACGGCAGGTATGTCAAACATCCTGGAATCCTCCATGATGATGATGTCATAGGGGCATAGGCTATAGGTGCATAGGAAAATGAGCAATAGGTGCTGCTAAAACTCCTGGCAACAGAGGGCCGACAAATGCTCGAAGATATTTGAAGACAGGAGAGGGGAGAGAGAGAGAGAGAGAGAGCGAGCGAGCGACAATGAAAAACACGGTCTAGCTATACACACTAGCTGCAGAAGTGCTCTTTAGCCCTACCAGGGCTACATCTAAGCCAAAAGCCTTGGATTTCAATGGATTTCAGATGAGCCAGACCTGTCAGACGGATCCATCATGCGCTGTGCGACCAAAAGCAGCGTGAAAGAGCAACTGCAGTTGAGCGACGTTCGACGATGGGGTTCTATTGAACTTTCCTAAGGCCAATGGTGTCATCTACAGGCCTGTGAATCCAGAGAACGGCGGGTAATCATTCACCAGCAAGTCTTATTGATCCAATGCCTTCATTTTGCGATGTCACTTGTTCTTTTATACTCCCCTTCTTCGTGCAGGCCTTTGCCATCCTCAATGTGCGCCAGCATTGTGGGTGGAAACGCTTGTCCGACCGACAGGTGCCTTGCCTGCCCTCCACGAAAAAGCAGAGATAAGAGCATAAAGAGTGACATGTATCTGAGCCGCTCTAAAAACCTGTCTTTGCAATCGAATTCCGCGTAAGCAAAACCCTGGGTTGCGTAAGATTGCGTAAGCATTTCGCGTAAGCATTTAGGAAGTTTGCTCTGCGTAAGCAAAAGTGAGGGCCGCGTAAGCAGCGCGTAAGGCCTCGCGCAAGGAAAGTGATACGACATAGGGAGTGACTCCAGGTTTTTAGAGTGGCTCATCTGGAAATCATACAAGAGAGGTGGTTAGGACTGCTTAGTGGTCACTTGGAATTGGCTCGCTTGTTGGTAGGGATGGTGTCGCACGAGACGGGTTGCACCAAATCGCACCACTTAGTACGTCGGGTTTCCGTAGACGATCTAGCTATATCCAACTAGATGCCAAGCCAGCAGTCTCATACTATATACATCCAGAGTCGTAATTTTGGGAAGGCAGTCCCAAACGATGCCAGTATAGGCAGAAAGAGTTGCAGATTTGAGAGCTTCAGGGGCTGACATTCTGTCTTCAGAACAGATAGCGCAGTTCTTCAGATCAACTCCCATGTTTGACAATGATGATTGCCCTAGGAAGTTGATGTTTCCTCTTCATGCCGCTCTTTTGGTCGACCTGTTTCTTGCACTGGTGCGAGGACAGTGGGGAACGAGGGTGGCTGCATCCTAAGGATTCTATAGGTGGTGGGGGTCATTCCGGGTCATTCCCTCATTCTTGGTGGGTCGCACCAGTCAGTAGTTTCCCAAGTCCGATCCTTTTGAAATAAGGAGACCCTGTGACCTGTTCTCGCCCAAGGCACACTATACCATCTATACTCACCGTGAGGGGAGACACAGCTGGCCAGTCCAAAGGCACGATGCTGAGATCTTCAGCTTTAACACTTCCTGGAACTAACATGGAAGTAGAACACATTAGAACACAAATACCATCTTCCTCTACAAACAGTGTTTTTTGATGGTTTTGGCACTTCCATTTTAGTTCCAGGGGGAGTAGAACATGCCATCAGCACTGAAGGCTGGACTCAGCCTTCGCTCGAGTAGCTGTCCGCGTAGAAGATCAGATGCGAGGTGACCTGTGGCAGAGAAGAGATGACCTGAAAAGCCAAAGACGCTCCATGTATGGAATATATTCTATGTTTACTTTGACCTCCCACACGAAACCCCAACTAATTTTGCCGGAGTCATATATGCCAGTCCCACCGACATGTCACCGGTGCTGTTTACGAGAAAAGACATGTCTGATGGACCAATGTGGTTCTCCAAGACCATCGAAAAGCAACTGCCTCACCCAAAAGACGCCACTGGGATGTGGGAAACGGACCCGTCCATTTGTGGCAGCGCGCTTCGAACGGAAGCGGCTTGTACAGGGATGTTCATGCCTTTCGTGCCTGCAATGCAGCCCCAACCACGGGGTTGGGGGATGGTTGGGGGTTCAAGACATAATTAAGGATGAAACTCCAAGTCATGAAGCGCTCCCAGAAGCCCCCCAAGGCCGGAAGTTGATCGTTTCCTCCCAGGGGCTTCAGGGGAGGGTTCTTCAGGGTCTTCAGGGGGGTCTTCAGTTGATCTCCAGGGTCTTCACTTGATCTCAGGGGGAAGTGAGATCCAAATTGAGGGGACGTTTGAGTCAATGCTGAGCCCTCTCCAAAACCATCACCACCCCGACATGGAAATCCTGGCTTATTGACGTATGGCCCTATGGCATAAATCTGAGCCCGCTCTACCACTCAGATGAGTCTTAGTTTAGTTTGGGTCAACCAAAGTTTCGGAACTTTGTGGCTTCTGTGTTTGACAAATGGACGAGTGTTTCCTGCATAATCATATGCTGATGTTTCTTGCCTCCCACAAATACATGTCAGTTGCTCGATTCCGGTGGTATCATTTGCGGTGCAAGTGCCAACTCTGTTAACCATGTGCCCTAGCATGTTCAATTTTGGTGCACCTTGTTGGCACGGAGGGCGAATTAGCAGAGCAACAGGCGCATCAGACTTGCGCCCATGCCGCTGGTCGCTGTTGCAAAGCTTGCAATCCTTGCGTCAAAAAAACGCGGAAGCATGAAACCTGAAGCATGCCCTTCCCGGCAAAAGATGCTTTGCGGGTACAAGAACGTGTGCAATGTAATGACTGCTCAACAATCTAATTAACACCTGACAGCTTGTGTGAGAAGGGGAACACATAACAGATCATAACAGCAATAATTACCGGTGTGCCCTGTCTATGCTTTTGCAGGGAAAGTATGCCATGGTATGCTCTCAGATGGTCGTGGCACAGCGCCAGCATCGCTTTGCCCAATCTTGGATGTTCAAGGATGGAGAGAACCGGCACTGGCTCGAGCTCCACAGTGTTCAACTGCTGGTGTTTGTAGCATTCGCTGGCTCCCCCCCTTAACCTGATATATCATGCTAACCCTCCACCCCCACCCCTACTTGCGGCATTCACTTTGCAAAGTCCTTTTGTTCCACCAATGGAAAGGGTTGCACTACTCCCCTCCTGATGAACATGGATCCCCAAAACCAAGGGGGCTGGTCTTCGGATTTGGTCGAAAACCACCCCCCCCACGGGGCGTCTTCCTTCTCGGGGTCCATGTGGGTCCGTCTGCGGGAGGGGTATGTATTCTTTGAGAAGTATTTTCTAAGAACTGCTTCCAAGCCAGAGAGATGAAGCACTTGGCTGCATTGGAAAGGCTTTCCAAGCCAGAGTGAGTCGGTGCACA